GAGAGAGAGAGAGAGAGAGAGAGAGAGAGAGAGAGAGAGTTTTGATAGCAATATGACCTGATTAGATAGAGGATCAGGCAATGAGAACCTGAAATTATATGTCTTAGGCTGTGAACAAATGGGCTGTATTAAGGGGCAAAGCCCAATCTCTGAAGAGCTCATTTCATGTCAGGACTGGCTGCCTTTCTTCTATCTCTATGTCTGGGGTCTGTTAAGGGATGAAGGTTAGCAAGCAGCAGACTTGTATATAGAGCACTACTTTAAGTAAAGCTCTACCCCTCACAATTAGACACTACCAACATGGTCTTATTCTAGGTCAAAGATCAACAAAATTTTCTATGGATTTAGATAGCAATTTAAGTTTTGTGAGTCAAATCTGGCATCTATTATATATATTTTCTTATTATTTATTTTTAAAATGTAAAAAAACAAAAACAAAACCAAAACAGACTAGAGGCCAGGTGCTTTTGTGACCTTTTATGTAGGCTGTCGGTCTAAAAGATAACTATGAAATCAACTTCATCCTGTGTTTCTACCACAAAAACTCAGCTTCAAACCTTTGTAGAGGATTCTGTATCTCATTAGCATCATAGAAAACAGTTCAGTGTGCCTGATTCCAGTCTTTCAACGAGATTTTTTCCCCTGTCTTAGTAGCAAATGCTGGTTCATATCTGCTACCATTATGTCCCCCTTGGGAAAATAAATGAATGATTTTACATCTAAGGGTGAGTCAGGATTAGCATTAGGGGTTCACACTTCGGGGAGTAAACTGTTGATTGATGATGAATTTCAAAAGTTCAGGGACCACTGGTGTATTAAAACTACAAGGACCTAGAAATACAAGTTGGTTTCTGAACATTGTTTGCTTCCCATTATTCTTGTGGTCCCTATTCTTTTCCAACAAGCTTCAAAGACACTTACTGAATGGATATTCAGTGAGAGGTAAGGTTCAGCTTAGTAAATACACACCCAAATTTCTGTTTAAGCTTAAGGTGATGGTTTAGGCAAGGATTAGGGTTCCACTCTGGAGTTCTGTCATTCAGAGGATGTCTGTTACTTCAAGATCTTTTTCCCATTTCTTGGGGTGGAACTCGTGCATTGCTAGACTTCCACTATCTACTCTATCCCCCTGTCTATTGCCATGACATCATTCAAGGGCCTTTATGGCTCATACAGATGATCCCATATTAGGGCTACAGCTTTCTCTGGTATGGCCCTGCTGTATATTGGCTTGGTGTCAATGCCATTTATGCCAGTTTAGGGCTTGTACTTTGCATGTCTTCTGTGTCACATTTTCACATGTATTATCACACCCCACAACTTGGTCAATGAAGGCAACTCACATAACTAGGGGATCTGTCGGATTGGTGGCATGATTTCTAGTTTGAAAAAGGTCTCACATCACAACTCTTATAGATTTAGGTTTTTCCAATTTAGGTTAAATGTGTTATTTTTCTCTTTCCAACCACTAATAAATTACTTCTTGTAAGAGCTTGATATCTACTATTTACACGATATCTGTAAGGGGCAAGATATCTGGATATTTTAGCTCTCTACCTGAACGAATGAAATTAAACAAAAGTAGAGATATTAGACAAAAAATAGAATATTAACCCTATAACCAAGGATAATGATGCAGAGTGGGAAACAAATGAAGTAAAGCATCACTGACATTGGACAAATTGATTTGTTGATGTTGCAGAGTGTGTGCTATCCTGTTCTCCTAGTTGTGACAGCCAAAGTTATCAATACTAATTCAAATGTCCCCCAAGAAGCAAAATTAACCCTGGTTAAGAATTACTGGCATAAACCAATACTGCCACGCCTCTAGATTTTTGTTAATATGCTCATGATCACATGAAGGTCTTCCAAGCATGTCTTGATATGGGAACACATCAATTAACCCAAGTGCATGTTTTGCTCTGAAATGTACTATAGCTATTATTTGTTTGTTTGTTTGAATGATCTTAGCAATTCCAAAAGTAGCATGAAAAAGTAATCTAAAGCCATGTAACATTTGTATCCCACAACTACCATTTAAGAGTTTTGCTATTGTGGTGCCATTAGTGTAAACTCTTGCATTGGACAAGGTGGTAGAGTGACTGTCTGCAGAGACTTAATAAAGTTTCCAAAGAAACAAAAAAGAAGACTTTTGGAGGTGCATTTGCATTAAGGTACAAAGATCTGGTAACATACAGGTGGTCCTAAAATCCCAGGGTAGCCATCAGGGCCTGGAAATCCAGCAGCTCCTTGAGTTCCATTACAGCCATCTAGGCCGGGTGGACCTCTGGGACCTGGTTGTCCAGGGTGGCCCTGTTCAAAGAGAAAAGAAAGGATCCAGTCAGCCACAGGATTGTCAGCTAATTCAAAAGGCTCCACAATGAGAACAGCCAACTGCATTGCCTAAATTCTGGCTCCTTGTTACTCCCTTAGCTTCATCATGTGTGTTCTCAAAGTTTTCCTTTGTACCCAGATATACATTGCCAAGCACAGCTCAAGTTATCCCACTCAAAATTACAGCTGGTGCTTTAATAAGCTCCAAGCTGAAACTAAAGGGCTCAAGCATGGACAAATAACAGTAGGTAAGGAACTCCAACACCACCTTCATTGACTATAGAGATATACTAAAATGTGATGTAGCTGTCTGACAGCTGAACTGCTATTAACAGAGAACTATGCCAAGATTTGAGATTCCTCAGACCAGACAGATCCTGGGATAACTTTCTGGGGAAGGAGAATATGGGAGAATTAAGACACCTGTGTCTTTCCTTTTCCTGGTCCCACCTCCAGCCTAAGTCCCTAAAAGTCTACATATAACTAGAAGATGAAAGGAAAAGGGGACCTCCATGGTAGAGTGTAGTTGTCTTATTTATTATTTACTCTTTTGGGGGGTCCACCACCCAGATCCCAAATAAATCCACATAGAAACTTATAAACACCCACCCAGACTCAGTTTGGCTTGTTTCTTGGCAGCTTTTCTTAAATTATTCTGACTACTTTTGTGTCTGGGCTCTTTCCTTTTTTTTCCTGCTTCACGATTTGATGGGAAGACTTTGTCTTATGTTATATCATAGTAAACCTCAGCATATGAGTCTTGTCTTTACTCTTTAAGCTAACTTTTGCCTCTTCATTTCAAAGAAGTGTTTTGCTTCTGTTTGTCACATCCAAATCACCAGCATCAGTAATCTTCTGTTTAGGGCATTACTAAGTGAAATATAGATTATATGAGCACAAGTACTGTGATACTGCTGTGAAAATTGATCGGATAAAGATAGCTACTTAGTGACTAACAGGCTGCTAGAGAATATAGCATAAATATTCATAGATACGCTGGGAAAAGGGGATGATTTACATCACAGGTAGGATGGAGTGGGTTGGCAATAGAGTTCATTATACCAGTCAGAACAAGGTGCAATTTAGAATTCATGAGTTATTTCCATGGATAAGGAGGTACTACTGGTAATTTGAAAGGCTCATTTTGAAGAAGTGACACGTTTCCCTCAAATCATAAAATCCACATTTCCCTATTGAAAGTATGTTTAAGAGAAGGTAGAAGTCTGCCTTTCATTGACCTGTCTAGATGATCTATTAAGCTCATCGGTTTGCACCATGCCCCAAATACAACTGGCTTTTACTAGATTAAAACATTATGTTCTCCAACTCTGAAACTTGCTGAATTCAGATGAAAATGCTTACCAACTCCCCAGCTAAACAACTACCCCAGTAGTGCTTATGGAGAAGAGAAGAGTGGGATCCTTAACTGAAGCAATTACCTGACATGTGATTGTGACAAACTGAGAGTATAAGTGAGATTTTATAAGACTTGCTAATTTGTGGCCAAGCAGCTTTCTGTAGAGGAGATGTTGTGTGAATTTAATTCATTCTGTTAACCAAGATCCAGCATTAGTTCCAATATAGAACTTACATACAGAAAGTTAGGTTTTTTTTTAACTAGCCAGACTTCTCTATTGTCTTAGCATCTGTTGGATAACAGCTCTATAATGGGTCTGTAATGTTCCAGTATTAATGGTTTGGAGTCAGTTGTTTCATCACCCATTTTTGTTTCCCTTAATCCTGCCACATCCTCTAAATATACTTTATTCAACTCTACTTACTCAAGCTCTATTGGTGGGATGCCCAATTTCCTAAGGGTTATCCTTCAGCTGTGTAGCAGGAATAAGATAAAGCAATAGTCTAGCTCAGTACCAAAGCTCTTCCTTACTCCTGGGCTACCAAAACTTTTATCTAGACTTTTACCTTTTGGTCTCCATAAATTATGGGTCTCTGGTTTTCTCATCTAACTCCCAATAACTCTCACTAGTAGGGAAACCTGTTTACCCCTTCTCCACCTTAGTGGAATTCTCTGGAATTAACTTCTGACCACCAACTCAGACACATCACCTCTTTTTCATTCTGTTGTGCAGTGCAGGTTTTGAGCCTGTTAGACATATATTCTAATTCAGCTTTACTACTGCCCAGCTGGAGCACTCGATTCCTCCATTGGTAAACTGGTGATGAATAATATGTAACTTATAGAGAGGATGCCAACATGAAAAACAATATTGTGCTATGCTTAATATCAAGTGATATTAAGTTTACTAAGTAGCAAGTGATCAAATGGTTAAGTCTCTTTTTTTTTGTTTTTGTTTTTTCGGTTTTTTTTTTTTGTGACAGGGTTTCTCTGTCTGGTTTTGGAACCTGTCCTGGAACTAGCTCTTGGAGACCAGGTTGGCCTGGAACTCACAGAGATCCGCCTGCCTCTGCCTCCCAAGTGTGGGATTAAAGGTGCGCGCCACCAACGCCCGGCAAATGGTTAAGTCTTGATCCCGGACAGTTGGCAAGGATAAGCTATACGGTGGAGTTCTACCTCCTCTCAATTATCAGGGCCGTAGAATGTCTGGCACTTCACTCTCCTTGGCCGTAGCTAATGATTTTACTGAAGTGTGCCACATCCCAAGGACATAGCTCTTTGAGGGGATCTCATGGCTCTATATATCCGCAAAGGAACGGGATCTGCTGTGTTCCAGAAAAGGTATGTTCCCAAGTCCAAAGGAAGAAGTTCCCACGTGATGAGTGCTATGTGTCCACTTTCTGCATATAAATCTCTAAACAGGGAAAAGTTTGTGATTGACATCCTGGGAAAGGCTAAAGCTCATTTTCCAAGGACATCTTGGAAACTTCTGTTCTCAACTCGTTTTTATAAATGTTTTTATATGTTTTATGAATATCCATCGGTGACAGGTGCCAACAGCCCTAACTCACACCTGGAATATCTCAAAGCCCTGAGTGGTACCATTCCCAGTGTCTTTTATGCTGATGATGAATATTCTAGTGGGTAGGCAAACTCTGTTTGCCCTTTCCACTGGCTCTCCTGCCCTTTGGTACAATGAATTGGGTTATCATGAAACCCATTCTGTTGAAATTGTCTACATAATAGCAAAAAATGGAATTTGGAGACCCAAACTAGTGACACGTTAGTGACCAGCCATTGTTAGGAGGGGAACTAGATCTGTGTAGTGATCCAGTTTAGTAAGAGGCATCAGAGAGGCTATTGGCTTCAGTTGCACAGTTAAATGTGTGTCGAACAGGTTGATTAGTTGGAAAAAGCCTGTGGGGGTCTGTGCTTTTCTATCTGAGTTAGCTCTATCAGTATGAGAATTCCAGCTTTTACAGACTCTAAAAGTAGGAATCAGTTCTTCAAACTTTTTTAGGTTACTGGGACTCTTGGGCCACAGAGGGGAACAGAAGATATTACCTGTACTTTTAAGGAGCTAGATGAAACTTTCACACAAAATAATCAACACCAGGGGAGTGCATGTGTCAGGGAACTAGAGTAGTGAATCACAACACCAGCCAAGGACTCCTGAGATCTTCAAGATGAAAGGAAGAGGGAAGTACTGAACAAAAGGTACTCAACAGCTACTTCTTGGCTATTTGGGAGAGGGCAAGTCAGAAAATAGAGAAATCAAAAGTCTAAAGGAAAACAGACAACCTTTGAAGAAGGAAAAGGCAAGGAAGTGGGTGTGTCTTTGGGGAGCAGTCAACTCATTTGGAGAATTCTGGAGAGCTGCAATTCTTTTGAAACCACAAAGAGAAGTGATCAATGCCCACACTGACCATAAGTTGAAAGCATAAGTGGCCAGCTGGACTAGGGAACCAGTTCCAGCGTAGATTTAGAAATAGCCCAGGCAGCACAAGATTCACTTGTTTTCAGTTCCAGCTCAGAATAGGGGTGGGGTAGTAACATTATCCTCCAATCACCTGTGCATCTCTGGCCCAGCAGGTCTGTGGGATGATTGGGCAAGGCTACTCTCCAGCTTGGCAGTTACCCTTATCTCCTGAGCCTGGAAGATACACTCTGCACAGGGATTCTATCCTGTGAAGCCATAGGTACATAGCCATAAGAAAACGTAGGCGGATGCCAAAAAAGGACAGGTTATCCCTGTCCACTTAATTTTCCAACTGGCCTATTTCTCGACTTTTTTAGACACTAGTTGAATGAAATACATATATCTTATGGGTGATATGATTTAAGTAAGAAATACAAAGAAATTGAGTCTTGTACTGTACATATCTACAAATGTCTACTAGATTTGAGAGAAAAATAGATCTGATGATAATATCTATGAAGGCAAAACAATATTCTTCCTGTATATCCTCATAGTAGAGTATGAGCACACAGCAGGTGTTCCAGACATTACTGCCTAGAGATTGGAACAAAGTGATCTGAATCATCTTTGGTGATACCAGAAGGTTATATAGCATAACATAAGACAATGGGTCATCTAGAGTTTCCCCAATAGTGCTTTGATAAGGTTCAAAGAACCTCTCAGGAGTTGTTAGAAGGATAAAGGCAAGCTTAAGTTTCTCTCAGGCGGGGCTTTCCTCTTTTCTATTGTATAGTCCAAGTGTTCACACCCTTTCTGGTCTCTTAAACAAGACTGAAAAGCCTTGTAGACAAACATGACCAAGGTTATATACCAAATATAGAAAAAAAAGGTGGTATGGACAAAAGCAGAAAGTGACGGTCAGTAATCGCCAAGTGTTACATTTCAGAAGCTGATAGACTGTCACCATGGAATCAGAAGCACTAGGTCAAGCATGAATATAGGATACAGATGGGAAATCTAAGAGGTTGGGCTGGATGGGATGGGGTTAGGGGCTATTTACAAGCTTCAAATCCATGACTTGTATCTGTAAAAGTAAACAAACAACAATAGCAGCAACAACAAAAACTAAAGGGAAATTCCCCTTGAAGGGAGATAAACCTGATGAGAACCAATTACTGAAATGAAATGGATCAAATTATCACTAAGTATTTTTTGCTCAAATTTTGTGCACTTTATTACTTTTCCTGTAATGAGTACATGCATGTTCTAATGTGCCTCTCTGCAACTAAGAGGGAACCCCTCTATGTCTAGTTGAAGTTCCCCTTCAGTGCTCTCCCCACCCCACCCCCCATATTAACTT